ATTAGATCCTAGATCTAATGTAGGATCCTAGATATAGAGCTAAAGGGAATCTCAGAGGACCCTCTAGTCTCATTTTACAGATTAGAAAACTGAGGCTCAAGAAAAAAAGGAACCAACTATTTATTAAGCACCTTCAATGAGCCAGGCACTGTGCTAAGTGTTTTCTAATTGTTATCTCATTTGATCTTCACAACAACCCCCATTTTATAGAAGAGGAAACTGAGGCAAAGGTTAACTGTCTTGCCCAGATTCACATAGCTAGTAAATGTCTGAGGTTGATTTGAATTCAGATCTTCTGGACTCCAGGCCCAATGCTCTGTCTATAATGGTACCTCTCAGAGGTATTATTACCTCAATAGCTGTCTCTCTGCCCCAATGTCACACAGGTAGCATTAGAGGCAGAATTTGAAATAAGATCCTCTAACGCCATAATGGAAGAATTGTATAAATCAAATACAAAGAGACTCTTTCTAGCCAACTTTGAAGTTGGAAATATTAAGAAAACATTAATAAGTGAAACTGTAGATAGCTAGGGCTGTCAGAATACCTAACTTTAAATTATTTATTAATCTGAAGAAAATGTTCTCTTTCTAGCAGTTAATTTTTCAATTCAATCTAGTATAGCACCTTCTCTGGACTCACTTTCCCATTGACAATTTGGGGTCCCCAGAAGGCAATGACTGCTACTAGTCTCAGATTCTGGGAGTAACCTTGAGGATTGCTGAATTCTAGTATTGTGGGCCATAAGCCCCTACTGGTATGTTTCTCAATGATTATCAGTCAGACTTAATTAGCTTTTAGAAAGGATATTTATAAAGCAAGTAAAGCAAGGACAGTTGTAATAGAAATGGTACACATACACCCCAAACCCTGAGGCATACTCGCCTCTTGCAAACTCAAAGCCCTTAAGAAAAGTAGGCTTAGGGGCAGCTAGGTGGCAAAGTGGATAGAGAACTGGCCCTGAAGTCAGGAGGACCTGAGTTCAAATCCGGCCTCAGACCAAACATTTGACACTTACTAGCTGTGTGACCAAGTCACTTAACCCCAGTTGCCTAAAAGAAAGAAAAAAAGAAAAGTAGGCTCAAACTTAGAGTAAAATGGAAGTCCAGCAAACATGCAGAGAACACATGTGGAAAAGAGGTAAATAGCAGCTTCTGGTTACTGGAGACTTTTTCATCCTTGGTAGAGTCTTCATGAAGTTCCCCTTAGGCATAGTTCTCTTCTGGAATCAGAGAGTCAGTGCCCTTGGAGAATCTATAGCTCTGTCCCAAAGGGTTATACTCTCTGAAACTGCCTTTCCTCAGTTTGCGTGTCTCACCTCCCGATGCAGATGCTGCCATCAAGTACCATTGATGGAAATATCCTGACCTTCATAGTTTAAAAGTTTGTTTCCTGTTTAATGGGGCAGGGGGAGAGAAAAAGAAACTTCCATCTCATGAGATTATTACCACTAGAGTGTAACACTACTCAAATGACTGGCTCTGAACTCCCTTGCTTTTTTTTTTATTTAGACAATTATGTCTAATTCATTTAACTAAACACAAGATATTTTTCATGGCATGTAATCTATTGTTATCCAGTGACCAAAGCACTTGCTATATCTTTAGGTTAAGAACTTGTCGCCACCTTGTTTACACTTTTGGTCAATTGAATCAGTTAACTGAGTGGAAAATCTCCATTTTCTTTGATTAACTGGTATGGAGGTAGATTCCCACTCTTACACAAGTATTTTTTGAGCACCTCCTTCTGTGCCCAGCACAGTATTAACATGATTTGATGCAGTTTCACAAACACTGTGTCAGATATCTGCAAAATAGAGTGCTATGTTCTGAGGGCACAAAGACGAAAAATAATAGAATCTCTGCCTTCCAACAACTTACAATCTAATAGAAGGGATATGACATGTATACAGATAAGTATGATACAAGGTAGACTGTAAGAAGGATCCAGAAAGGATTTAGAAACATTGTGCTAGGAAAATGCAGGAAGTGATCACTTTCAACTTCGGAGAACAGAAGAGTATGAAGGGTATGACATTTTAGTTGTGCCTTAATGGACGGAGTTGGGGAAGTAAGAAATATATTCCAGGCATGGAACCAGTCAACTCTGAGGCACTGAAGCAGGAAACAGAGGAACCAGATCCTTTAAGCAGTTTGTCAGGAACACAGACTGCATGAAATCAGGCTAGAAAAGATAAACAGGAGCCCAAATGTAGAGTATAAAGGACAGGCAAGCAAGGCAATTGTAATGGGTAAGAGAAGTTCAGAAGAGAAAAATTGGGGCTGAGCACGACCATCTGTGAGTTATCCTCATGGAGACAATACTTAAAGCCTTGGGAAGGGGTAAATTCTTAGAGAGTAAATCTAGCCAAAGAAGATGGCTGAACATGGAGCCTTGGGAAACATTCAGATTTACAACCTGAGGGAGGCAGTTAGTGGTTACTTACTATCCTAAAATAATTCATTACTCTATTCTAAAGTGGTGCCCAAGGTCAGCATCCAGATCCCAGAAAGCACTTCAGAGAATGCTATGGTTTTCCCTGCTCAGATTCCAGGAGTATGCCACTGTTATTTGGCGTCAAATTACTTATATTCCATTTTCTTGTTTGCTGGGTAAATAAGCCAAGGGGAAAAAAAATGATCAGAGGGGAAAAGATGTCTGTAAGGGAAAAAATAAAACCAAGAAGGGTATGGTTAGAAAACATTCTCCCAATGTCAGTTACTTTTGGCAATAGTTATGCAATTGATTCACCAAATTTTTTTTAATGTCCTTAATGAGCAACATTTAAACAAAATCATCTTTATGTGAATGGGGTAAAAGCAGGGCTTCTGTGCAAATGGATTTCTGACATATCTTTTGCTGAGTCCCACAATCCTCGGACACAAACCAGAACTTCTTGCCTCAGTTTCAAATGACTGAAAAATGAACATTTGATCTCAGGAAAAGTGGAAAATGGTGAGGAGAGGAAAATGTTAGTAGCAGTCAACTTTTAGCGAAATAGAATAAATGAATAAGACTACGTAAAATTGAGTGCGTTTCTTCTCCCTTTTTGAAGGCTAGGGTTCAACTTAGAACTATCCTGTTCCTAATGTGATGATGAAGCTCAGCCCAAGGTAGCAAAGTGGTAGGTTAAGCCCACCCCCAACTATTGAGAAATAAATTGTATAAATATGTTTAGATGATTGGAGAGTGGCCCCAAAATAGCATTAATTTTTAGGAAAGAATTAATGCTTCTCCGCCAGTCTCACACATAAACACACAATTAGGCAGAGAGAGGATTGTGTCTATGACTGTAAAATAACAATTCTTCTCTCTATTACTATTGATGCAAGTGTAGAGCAGTAGATAGCAGCTTGGACTTGGGGGAAGGAAGATCTGGGTTCAAATGGTATTTTAGGCATGTGTTAGCTATGTGATTGCCAATTCTCTGAGCCTCAGTTTCCTCATCTGCAAAATTCAGGTAATGATCTTAGTAACACTTAACTAGCAGCATTGTTGGGGCATCAGTCAGCCAGTGAATAAACATTTATTAAACATCTACTACATGCCAGGCACTATGCTAAATACAAGGGATATAAAGAAAAACAGAAAATAGCCTCTGCCCTGAGGAAGTTCACAATCAAATGGGGAAGACAATACATAAAAAAGCTGAAAAGGGGTTGGGGGGGGAAGAGGCAGTGGGAAAGAGAGTGACAAAGTCCTGCAGAAGTCATGTAGTGTCTGCCTAGGTCTCTCAGAGAATCTGGGAGGAGCTTTCACCTTCTATGGGCTGCAATCAGAGGGAGAGAGGGGCCCCACAGGTAGGGGGCACTGAGGAAGTATGTGTTTTAGAACTGGTGTTTCTGGAAACAATGGTGAAGTCCACATCAATTGAGATAATGTGTATGAGGCAGTTTGAAAATCTTAAGTCTCTATAACAGTATGTGTCTGCTATTATCACCGTGCCATCAGAGAAAAGGGCACTAAATTTAAAGTCAGGAAGATCCTGGTTTAAATTTTGTGTCAGATAATTATTAGCCATGAAATCCCTGGGCAAGTCATTTAACCTCTCTGTGCCTCAGTTTACTCACTTGTAAAACAAGAGAGTTTAACTCAATGGCCTCCAAGGTCTCTTTCAGCTCTAAATCTATGATACTATGATTCTAGTAGGTGGCACAGTGGATAGAGTTACTGGGCCGGGAATCACAAGACTCATCTTCCTGAATTCAAATCTTCTTCAGACTAACTGTGTGACCATGGGCAAGTCACTTAACCCTGTTTACTTCAGTTTCCTTACCAGTAAAATGAGCTGGAGAAGGAAATAGCAAACGACTCTAGTATCGTTGCCAAGAAAACCCCAAATGGGGCCATAAACTGGACACAACTCAACAACACAATTTTGTTCTATGTGTAACAGTATATAGTCAAGTTTTTGTTACATTTATAGAAGATCAATCAGTGATGATATACAAGATTGAAATTAAAATTCTTGGGGAGCAGTCAAGACAGGCATGAAAAGCAAACATTCAGAGCAATTTATGTATCATTTCAGACTAGACGTGATGACTGTGAGTCTGCCTCTTTTTGTATCCCCAGTGCTAAGCACAGTACCTGGCACATAGCAGCTGCTTAATCAATGTTAATTGACTGACTGATTTTTTTTTTAAATATTAGGAAATAAGAAACTGAACTTTCTGGGTAGGGTTTATTTAAAACATGTTATAAGAGTGTCGTGCATAAAAACAGAAGCCTACTTGGATTGTTTTGATTTCCAGTGTGTGAGAGAATACCCAGACCTCCCACTGTCTAGAAAATCTCTCATGTTGCAGAGGTGAGATGATGTGGCAGGTTGGCACATGCCAGCCCTTTTGCTTGTGGTGAGCTGAGCTTATTTTAACACCCAGAGAAGGTGATGTGGCAATGAATTTCATTTCTATACTGTGGTTCTTACAACATTTTCCCAGGGGACAAAATGACATTTTTACAAATCACCAATCTCTGCATGCAATCAAATCCGGCTTTAGGCAATTGGACATGAGTGCTGAGTTTTGTTTCCTTCTGGACAGGGGTTGGTCTCTGAGGCTCTTCCAACTCTTAAAGTCTTTGATTCTGTGATTCCATGCTCAGATCATGGAGTAGAAGAGCTGAAATTTATCTGAAAAGAAATAGAAAGCATTTGAGATGGAAAGGAACTTAAAATTAGTCTGTGCCTCTCATTTTACAGATGAGGAAACCGAGACTCAGAGAGGTGATGCAATTTGCCCAAGGTGATGAAAAAGAGACAAAAGTATCAGCAAGAGAAACTTGCTGATACTTTTCATAGGGAAAAGGAACCTGATCTTGGAGTCAAAACCCTTGAGTTCAAGTACTGGCACAACATTATACATACATATGTATATACATACACACATATATACACATATGTATGCATATATGTATATTCGTATCCTATATATTTGTATTTGTATCCTACATGTGTATGCATCATATATATATATATACACGTACATATACCCACATACATCACACACATACACACACACACACACACACACATATAGGTGTGTGGGATGTTCAGGAGGTCTAGAACCTCTGGTGTAAGGGTTTGCAGAGCCCTTTTCATCCACCTTTGTCCACCTGTCACCCAACTCTCACCTATGGCTCCAAGAAGCTATAGCATGCACAGCTGTCACACACAGGTAAACTTTCTCAGCAGACATGCTAAACCAGGTTGAAAGTAACCAATGTGCCTCAAAACTGTTGGTGAGTTACAAGGATGTCTATCCCAGTACATAAAGACTTCCCCCAACAGAATGGATGGATAAGAACAATTTGTTTCCACAGCCATGAAGGCAGCTGAAGCAGTCACTGTGGAGTACTTAGAACTTGGTGAGACATTGAAAACACCAAGGTCATCAACTTAATTCCGGGCCATTGACAGTCATCCAGACTTTTGTCTTGTCACTGGACTTCAATGACTTTGGAAGAGACAGTGAGGCTGACTACTTTTTTCGAGTCTGCCTCACTTAAATCCAGTTCCCATAAGTCAACCCATGAGTCAAGGCATCACTCATGATGTCATTGGTCCTCTTCAAAAAATGAAGGACAAACAAGCAAGTGACAAATATATATATACACATATACATATATACCCAAACACATATATACACACATGTAGAATATATAACACAACTATATATATAATCACAACTATATGTATATAATGCAAATATATGTGTATATATACACACATATGTATATATGCACAACATATATATGTGTATATATGTATATATATAAAATATACACAACACAGCACACACATAATATTAAAGTGCTTAGCACAGTGTCTGGTACACAATAGGCACTATATAGATGCTTATTCCCTTCTTTCCCTTGAACAACAAAATCAGAGGTTGATTCAATGTTAAAACCACACAGAATGAACATTTCATGTGTTCAGCAAATAGTCTCATTCCTATCCCTTCTTTCTGGGCATACTCACTTCAATGCCATAAGCATTTGTTGCACATCTATGCTGCTCCTAACACCAGCTTCTAGAGGGAGATGGGAGAGAAAAGTGGTTCCCATTTAAGTGAGAGTCTTTGGAGGGAACCAGGACGTATGAATGTGAAGCAATTAGAAAGGCAAAGTGCAGCATCCCAAGAATCAGGGCTGCATGTATTCAACACTTGTAAAAACAGCCCCATTCATCCTGGCTATCCTTGTTGATCTTCTGATTCTCAGCCCTAACATATCTCTTGCTTCCAGACTCCCATCTCCAGCTGCCTATTGGACATCTCCAACTGGTGTTCTGAAGACATCTCAAACTCAATATGTCCTAACTAAATTCATTATCTTTCCACCAAAATTCTTCCCTCTCCCTAAGTTCCCTATTGCTGTGGCACCATCATCCCCTCAGCCACTCACACTTGGAACATACTTAACTGTGTGTTTTGATTGGCTGTGCCCCATGTCTGGAATTCTCTACTTCCTCATTTCCATTTCTTGACTTCTCTGACTAAAATTCCCAGGAAAAAAACCCTACCTTTTACAAGAAGTTTTTCCTGATTCCCCTTAAGGCTAGTGCTTTCCCTCTAAGATTAGCTTGTCTATACATTATTTATACATAAAATACATATACATACATACAAGAAAATGATACCTTTAAAAAATACATAGAATAGTTGTTTGCATGTTGTCTCCCCCATTAGACTATGAGCTAATTGAGGACAGACTGTTTTTTGGGGGGGTGGGGGGTGGGGTGGGGTGTTTGTTCGTTTGTTTATTTTTTGACTTTCTTTATTAGCATAGTGTCAGGCATATATGTTGTTGTTGTTGTTGTTCGGTCATGCCTGACTCTTTGTGACCCCTTTTGGGGTTTTCTTGGCAAAGATATTGGAGAGGTTTGCCATTTCCTTCACCAGCTCATTTTACAGATGAAGAAACTGGGGCAAACAGGATTAAATGACTTGCCCAGTGTCACACAGCTAGTAAGTGTCTAAAGTTGGATTTGAAGTCAGGTCTTCCTGGCTCCAGGCCTAGCATTCTATCCACTGTGCCACCAGTAGGTGCTTAATAAATGCTTGTTGACTTGACTCTTTATAACAAATTTTATTGATATCTTCTATTTTTAAATTGAGTGATTTCCTTTTATTAATACTCCATGCCCCTCTCCCAGGGAGCCATTCCTTATAACAAATAATTATTTATGATAGAGGAAAAAAAATCAGCAAAATTAATCAATACATTGAAAAAGTGTGACAGATGGAATGAAGATGGCAGATCAGAGGCAGCAACTGAGCTGAATTCTTTCCCTTCCAAACAACTTTAAAATAATTCCTCGAATCAGATTTTTGAGCGGTAGAGCCAACAAAATGTCAAGGTGAGACATTTTTCTGGCATAAGAAAACTTAGGAAGCAGCAAAAGACATCTTTGACCCTGGGGTGGAGACCTGTCTGGAACCCAAACATACAACAGCTGCAGTAGCAGCTTCAAGAGCTTAATCCAGAGATGGTAAGGGACTGGTCAGAAAGAGATTACAGGTGACCCTTTGCTGGCACTGGGTACAGCTGGTGCTGATTGACAACTCTGTTGTCTATGCACAGCTCTGACTCACAGTTTCTGGGTGGAGAGGAGTGCTGATGGTTGGTCACAAGGGACCAGAGGCCCTGGTCTCAGGCAAAGAGGAACACTAGCACATGTGGCTGCAAGGGACCAGGGGCCCTTCCTGGGTGAAGAGCAGAGCACAAACCAGGAGAGCAGTGACCAGACCTCTCCCTGGACCACACCACCTTGGAAGCACCAAAAACTTACAGACCCCCAGAACTAGCTCTGAGAACAGCAACACAAAAAAGCCTGGACAATGCTTCCTCACCCCTATGTGAGCAGAGCCCAATTGTAACATAAGTTCAAAGTCCAGAAATAGGCTAGAAAATGAACAAACAACAAAAAAAGAACTTGATCATAAAAAAGCTACCATAGGGGCAGGGAAGAGCAACACTTAAACTCAGAAGAACGTAACCATGTAAAAACAGCTACAAAGAAAAATGCTAATTGAAACCAAGCCCAACAGGAATTCCTAGACAAGTCCAACAAAGAGATGAGTGTAGAGAAAAAATTTGGAAAAGAAATGAGCGATTTAAGAGAATTATGAAAAGAAAATTAATAGCTTGGTAAAAAAGGCACAAAGAAATACTGAAGAAAATGATACCTTTAAAAAAAGAAAAAAAAGCAAAACAGAATTGGCCTAATAGTAAAAGAGGCACAAAAATTCACTCTGGGTAGTTTTCCTTTATCATTTCTTGAAATGTGATGCCTAGGCTCTTTTTTTTTGTTTAATCATGGCTTTCAAGTGGTCCAATAATTCTTAAATTATCTCTCCTTGATCTATTTCCCAGGCCAGTTGTTTTTCCAATGAAACATTTCCCATTTTCTTCCTCCTCTTCTTCTTCTTCTTTTTTAGTCTTTTGACTCTTTTATTATTTCTTGATGTCTGATGGGGTCAGTAGCTTCCATTTAACCACTTCTAATTTTTTTTTTTTTTAGGCAATTGGGGTTATGTGACTTGCCCAGGGTCACACAGCTAGTAAGTGTCAAATGTTTGGTCTAAGGCTGGATTTGAACTCAGGTCCTTCTGACTTCAGGGCCAGTGCTCTATCCACTGTGCCACCTAGCTGTCCCTACCACTTCTAATTTTTAAGGAATTATTTTCTTCAGTGAGGTTTTATACATCTGTTACCATTTGACCAATTCTAATTTTAAGGAGTTATTTTCTTCAGTATTTTTGTGCCTCTTTTACCCAGCTGTTAGTTCTCTTTTCATAATTTTCTTGTATTGCTCACATTTCTTTTCCCAATTTTTCCTCTACTGCTATTTTATTTTAAAATTATTTTTTATTCTTTTTTTTAAATCTCTTTCTTTAGCTCTTCTATGAATTCTCATTGGACTCATGTTCAATCTACATTTTTCTTTAAGGCTTTGCTTGTAGATGTTTTTAAATCATTATCTTCTTCTGAGTTTGTGTCTTGAGCTTCCCCGTCACCACAGAAGATTTTTTTATGGTCAGGTACTTTTTTGTGCTTTTTTTCCAGCCTATTTCTTGACTTTAGACTTGTTAGAGTTGGGTTCTGCTCACTTTTGAGGAGGATGACTGGCCTGAGATTGTCTTATATGTCTTTCTGTTGCTTTCACAGCTCTGTCTGGGGTTCTGTAGGTTTTCAGTACTTCCAAGTAGTATGATCTAGGGAGAGATCTGGTCACTGCCCTCCTGGACTGTGCTCTTGGTCCTTATCCCATTCCCTCCCAACAGCAACTACTTCTCTCTCTGCCCTGGAACTGGGACCAAGAACTGAGTAATGGGTGATGTGGCTGCCAGATGGTGCCTATTCCTCCCTGATACAGAGGTCTCCTGCAATCTTTTCATGACAAGATATTCAGTCCCCTTAGTATCCCTGGGCACTGGGCTACTGATGTCACAATCCACAGTCAGTGCCATTTCCACAACACCATACTCCCAAGTAGGCCCCACCCCAGTGTCCTCTCTGTTGTCTTTCTAAGTTGCAGTTGGCTGGAAAAATGACTCACTGCGATTTTTTTCTTCACTTTCTCATTCAAAATTCAGTTTGGCACATGTTTTAAATTGTTACAGAGCG